AAGGACAGAAACATCGGACAGTTTTGTTTACCTGACTGGTAAGTTTTACTGTTCATTTACAGGGAAGATTTTTCGTTTGTTTAGGCATCAGAGATCACAGATTTACGCGTAAATGGCTCTCCTTTTGGAATAAAAATGGCACACAAGCAGTTGTTCGAACTATCGGAGCATAACATGAGAACTGGAAGGATGTTAGAGTTTTCGAGAGTGATATCTTCCGGCTGTCTTATATCCTCTAGTTGAATGATATTCCAGCCTTATTTTTGCCTATCTTTCCTGAAATTCAGCATTTATTTCGCTCCAGAGCCTACTTTTGTCCTTCCTAGCGCAAAATATTTACATACGAGCTGCCTTTTACTGAATTCACTGCATTTTTGCTTTGTTTTCTTTCTGTTTTTTGTTTTATGTTAACTTAAACGCTCTTGGTACTTTCTTGCTATAAGAAAGTAGAACAAGAAAAGGGAATCGCCTGTTTTTCTTTTCCAAATTGGAGCTAGAATTAAAAATCAATGTTCAGTACTGGAATGTACTTGGAGGGGAGCTATTGGTACGAAAGGGTTGTTACCTGCTGTTCCTTATTTTTTCACTGAATGAATGACCTGATAAAAGCTTATCTTTCATGCGTTTTGCATCTTAAGCAAATGCAAAACGCATAATTTCTAAGAAATGCCTGTGTGTGTGTTCAGAAGCGAGTGAACTTTGTCACCAATTTTCAACGCAGCAACGGGAGGAACCATGATGCAACACTACCGTCCCAGCCGATACGCTTTTCCCCTGCATGAAGTCCAACACACATGCGTTTCAGTTGCGCGTGTTAAACTGTAGAGCAACAATCATTCACACTGATAACGATCTGACTGCATCAAGTTTGGAGCAAAAACGCATGGCCGCATGGGCAAGTCTGGTGCGTTGCTACCTGAGTTTTATTGAAAGGTGATCCGTGAGATTAAGTATGTAAGTCAGGCCCGTATCACCAGAGGTTAACCATGCTTGCTATGTAGTGTCTAATTCCGCTCCTGTAAGTACCGCAAATTCTCCGAATACATGCCCGATTTTTCGTAAGAGTTC